CCTGACTTAGCGAGACATATTCGGGTTGGAGTTTCTGCTTTGCTGTGGACTATCTGGACTTGCAGAAATGATTTGGTTTTTAACAGAATATCATGTATACATTTTTTGCAGGTCATATTCCGAACTACGGCACTGATCCGTTCGTGGTCGCTACTCACCCAGACGAAAGCCAGGGAGCATTTGGTTACTGGGTCTTTCCGCTGGGAGATGGTAGCTCGGGATATCTTCAACCGGTTTGGATGGCGATCATGTAATAGGATAGACATTTAGTTTCCCTATCTAGTTTTAGCCAGCCGGTTGTGGCGTCTTTTCTTGGCTAGTTGGTGTCTCTAGCCCCTATTGGCTCTGTGTGAGCTGTATGTGCTTTTTTATTACTTTTGAAGACCTTTTGAATCATGTTGGCAGTATTTTATTTGGTTAATAAAACGGCCGTATGCATCTTTCTGATGCAGAGGCCGGGGAATCACCCATTTTCCAAAAAATCCAATGCTCTGTTTTTCTCTTCAGTTTCGTCAAAACCACTGTACGCACACCCCTCCACCACTGCACTTCTGCCTTCTGGTCGTAACAGAGCATCAGGTATTTCAGTCTTTGTCCTATATATCATCAAAATGCTCGACACCTCGAATGAAGCATTGGATGTATAGTGCGAATCTGTGGAGTAATGGAGCTTGACTGCTGTTCCATGCATGTTGGTTCTCTGCAGCTCCTGCCCTCATATGAACAGAGAAAACTCCAAGAGTAACTTATTTGGTGTTGTACGAATGGAATTAAAGTGCTGTATGAATGGAAGTAAGCAGAAGTTTGAGGGTGCCTGCATCATTGGGTTGCCTCTCTACCTCTCCAGCCCCATCAGAACTGCTCAAGGAAGTTCATGAATAAAAGAGTCTATGTTATCTCGAAGCCTGATCTTGATGCTCGGGTGTCCTCGATAGACACTGATGGCATTCATCAAGATAGCCTCCGCGTCGGCAGCCCACCTTCGTGACTCTGTATCCGCTCCCTCAAAGCAAATACCAATGTCAGCTTGCCTGAGATTTGGCGGGTGCTCCACGCCCTCAATGGTCGAGGGGTCGTGATGCTACACTCCTTGCTCATGGATTTGCAAAACCAACTTTTGGAGTTCGGGCATTGCCCCTGTCATGAAGGTTAGGCACGGGGCAAAGCACATGATTCTGAAATATTTGAGAAGTTGGAATGCCACCGCACCATCACGGACGATAATCCTCATTTTCGGGGATTTTCGTATCCACAACCAGTAGATGAGGTAACATTGCGAGCAAATCAATGACCTCCTGCATTGGCTTCTCAACAGCAATTCCCAACTTCCAGAGCTTTTGGGGTTGGCCGATGCAAATCAAACCGGTACCCTCGGAAACGTCCAAGTTGCTGCAACATGGAGTTCCTCTCAGTATTGCCAGTGATCAGAGAAGCCAACTCAACAAATGAAGAAGAAAATATGTTACTACCAGACCAAAGATGTCTCAGATGTCCAGTGTTACGAGCGAGGGATCGAGGATAAGAAGAAGTAGAGTGGTGGTGGTGGGCCAGCAAAGGATCTGTGTCGCACGTGACAGTGTCAAAAGCGTGTCGGCGCGTGGAGAGCGGGCGTGACCGGCCGAAAGTTCAGCCGGCCAGCCGATTGCAAATCGTTGTTTACCTGATACTAATCCATGCTGAGCTCAATTAACCAGTAATGTGCTGGTATTACTCTAATAGCCTCGAGTCAAGTCAAGTCAACTTTGTATATTACCCACCCACCCCCACCTACCCAGCTGCTATCTCATCATCGATGTAAACCCTAAACCCTAAACCTTTCTCTCGTCATCGATCTATCAACGTCTGCTCTCTCAAGGTCTCAAGGTCAGTGCTATCGCTTTATGCAGATGATTGATTGTTATCTTCAAGCTGTCGATCGGTGCTTTGGTAAACTGGGAGGTTGTATTGTTAATCCATGGCCTCTGCCTGCTCTTGTCGCCTCCGCTGGCCGGAGAGGAAGGTCAGGTGGCTTCCTTCTTCCTCTGCAAATCCAGATTCAGGGTCGTCGCCGTCGGCATGAGCGTTTTATGTACTCCTCTCTGTATTCTGTAACAACACTGAACAATCAAGTATTTTACAAGGTGGCTTCCCTCTTCCTCTGCAAATCCAGATCCAGCCTAGATATGTTCTAGGCAGGGTCGCCGTCTGAGGTTCCCTTCCATTAATCTCCCCTGCTTTGCGTTTCCCTCCACCACCTCCCGCCACCCATCCAGATCTGACCACTCAAGTGTACTCTGCTTCTTCTTCTGATGCTCTTCATGGCTTCTTTCTTCTTCAGTAACTTATGCCCCGGCCCTGCGGCAAAAGTCGCTGCTTCCGGGTGCGCCGAGCCCTTGTCTGCCGTTTTGGACAGGCAACGAGCTAGTTAGTTTGGGTCAGGAAAAATATATATGCATGATTAATTAATCCCTGGGAGCTTCCACCTGCTACAAAATATGGACATAGTATTTTCTTAGGGGTCTTCTTGAGCTGTGCATCTTTTTAATTCCGTGGAAAAGGGGTAGACGGGCATTTTTAGCAATACATCAAATTAGGCTTTTTTAGCCATACTGTTATCTCAACTTTACAAGCATTATGTCATGTGTGTATTGACTTTGTTACAAATCTTACAATAATTTCTTTTATTTTGTATGTAATGCAGGGTTTTATTACAGCAGTGGACAATGTGTATCAGCTCCCGTTGGTGCTAAATATTTGTTGGCGCGTGAATGATTTTCTGGAGTCAACTTTGTTGGACAACTACCATATGCTGCTATAGAAAGGTACTCCTACTAGCGATCCAGTCAAACGTCAGTTCTCCATGGAATGCTGCTCCAGTAGGAAAAAACCTTTTTTAGCACTACATCAAATTAGGCTTTTAAACAACAGTAGCAGCACTGTTATCTCAACGTTACAAGCATCATGTTATGTGTGTATTTACTTTGGTACAAAGCTTACAATAATTTCTTTTATTTTGCATTTAATGCAGGGTTTTATTACTTCAGTGGACAATGTGTATCGGTTCCGTTTTTTGCTAAATATTTGTTGGCGCTTCAGTGATTTACCGCAGATAACTTTCTTGGACAACTACCATATGCTGCTATAGAAAGGTACTAGCGATCTAGCCAAACGTCGGTTCTCCATGGAATGGTGCTCTAGTAGGAACAAACTTTTTTTCTGTTAGATTCATCATTGAATATATTTTCACACCATATAGATTTGTCATTGTAAATGTACATATTGTTTTTTTTACAAAGTTGGCCGCACTTTATAAGGTTTGGCTTCAGTCAAAGCTAACATGGAGAGTAAATATAAACAGATCGAGTATATTGCAAATAGAAATATAGTTAAAATGATGGCTGCCAAAAAAATAAACAGAACTTACATATTTTGGAAAGAAGTGAATATTTAAGCTCCTACGTAATGATTCGTCTTGAGACAAGTCAAGTCGTCCTTCTTTGTCCCATGCATGCGCATCTGTCATCTACAGGTCCTCTTTAATACTGGCACGTTGCGGTGCTCCCTTTGCATATCTGTCGTCTTTAATTCTTCTTTACAGTTCACGTTGCGCTGCTCCCTTTGCTCCACTGTCCACTCCACCCACAGGCTGCAGCTAGCCAGCAAGCAAGGAGAGACTATTCATTCGGGCCAGTTCTTTTGCTGGCTTTAGAATAAGCTGCAATAAACTGCCCCTCTACCTAGTTTATTCTAAAAGTTCAACCAAATTTATTTTTTAGAAGCCTGCTAACTAAGAGTTGACTAGCAGGCTTTTAAAAAAATAAACTTGGTTAAGCTTCTAGAATAAGCTAGGTAGGGGGTAGCTTATTTTATAAGCCCAAAAAAGCTACCAAAAGAACTGGCCTGAATGCTCCTCTTCCGCCGCAGCTACTTCTTTTGATCTCTCAACGTCTCCTCCCAAGGTTAGTAGTTGACTACTACAGTACTATGTCGACTAGTCTAGCACTAGTCTAAGACTAGTCCGATTAGTAGTTGACGGATATTCCATGAAACATTAAAAGTACATATTTTATTTAGAAAAGAGGTTTTTCAGTGAAGTTTTACAGAAAGCTAGAATAATATCTGCCGGGCTTACAAGCTCTAGAGAAGTTCAACATAACAACCAAACAGAAATAAATCAAAAGAAATGAGCTTAATTATGTGCTCTCTATTATCAACACTAAACAAGGGAGTGTTTCCTCAACCGATTTCCATCAGCCAACACCCACTCGGTCCACCTGATTGGTAAGGCATAGCAAGAATATGGATCTTAGATAGCACTGCCTCTCTACGTGAAGGATATGTGATCTTTCATCGCCAGCTTTGTGACTAACATGCTTAGGAGAGGCACAAACTTTGCAATTAAAACCTTAAGTCCTAGAAAGCTAATACGTTAAGATGTAAAGAAGCACAAGACTGGCGATTAGTTGTCACATCCAAAAGTTCACTAATATTGTATGTTTAGGCAATGCTTACATTAGCCATGTTTGAAATTAGTTATTGTGGCCGACTTAGGCTCGGTCTATGGTTCCTGAACTTGATGGAGCTTGAGTGCTAACATGCAAAGCATTGAATGCTCTCAGCAATAGTAGGAAAATATATGCATGATTAGTTCCCGGAAGATTTCACATGTTGCAAAAATATATATAATGATTTCTTCAGGTTCTTCTGAAGCTGTGTTTTCGGTGTTTTGCCATAAAAAATAGGGCAGAGGTGCATATAGGGGTTCTCATGTAGTACCTCTCAGCCTTTCAGTTTCGATTTGCTTCTCATACCAATTATGTTGAGCACTAGATCACATTAGTCTTTACAACAACAACATCAATACTGTTATCTTATCTTTACAAGCATTATATTCATATCTATTTTGGCATAGTCTTATAGTAGCATCTTTTATTTTGCATTTATGCATTACAGGGTTTTATTACATCATTCGACATTGTGTAGCAGTTCTGCTTTGTTCTTTCTGACAAGCTAAGCCGCCAATGGGTATGCATGTTCTTGTTATTTCAATTGCTTTTGCTCATGAGAACTATTGATGTAACACAAGTAAAACGTTAAAACAAATATAACGGTTCATTTTGGGAGAGTGGTTTTGGTACGTGCAAGACTAGGTGCATGAGTTTAGGATTTACATACTTGTACATCTTGAAGAAATAATTCTCAGAAATTCCATATGTGAGGATCATGTTATAACATACGCACATGCAAAAATATTATGAAAAAAAATGATTCGATATATCCTGCACCAAGAAAGCCAAAAGACTTAACTTACTTTATGTAGTTTACAATATTAACCACCTTTTCTTCTGCAGCACAGGCGGAGCAGAGGGCTAGGCAAAGTTTGGGGCTAGCCCAACCCAATAGCTATTTTCATGTCTTTCATTTGCAATTTCCAGAAAAGCTTTTCTAAAGGATGCTAGGCAAAGTTTGGGGCTAGCCCAACCCAATAGCTATTTTCATGTCTTTCATTTGCAATTTCCAGAAAAGCTTTTCTAAAGGATTTTGGGCCTCGGCCCTTGTTTGCAGCTGGTGCATAAGTTTTAACATGATGCGCATAAATTACTTCTACAAAATTTCTTAAAATGCACATGTCTCCAAAGCATAACTTAGGCACACGCGAATGCAATGCACATCTGCATTTCCTTATTACGTTGAAAGAAGATCACGATAGCATACTTAGAATAGCGTTGCCTTAAATGTTGGTTGTCACGCGAGTTATTTACTTGATAATTTTGTTGTAAAATTATTATGTGCTACTAGAGAAAGGTAGTAACTTAGTCATTTGGCAGTTCTCCATTCAATTTTGTTCTACTAGGAACACACTTTATTTATTGTTAGTGTTGAAAGTGCATAGGATGAAATGGATTATACATTAGATATACAGATGGATCATGAGGTCCTGGAGCATATACTTGATGGAAGAGAGAAGCCGAAAAATCTATCACTCGCACTTTTGAAGGATGTCACAGGAAATTTCTCGGGCGATCGAGAAATCGGCCACGGTGGATTTGCAATCGTTTATAAGGTGAAATTATATTTTAACACAAACTATGCATGTCATCTAGAGACCCCGCTTGGAATTGTTATATCGAGCAGTACTTGAGGTAGCCGAACTATTTGAATACTCCGTGTTTCAACCTATTATAAGTATCACTGTATATACATATGTTGCATACTTCTCCAAGATACCAGTTGGTTTTAATGGTATATTAGTATATATTGAAGTCAGTCAGGCAGGCAGATTCTTTGTGTGGTATATTACGAAATTTCATTTCTTGGATAGGGACACATTGTGTCGCACACATGCACACATGCATTAATTGGGAAAACATTCTGCCGCCTTAAGTTGACCAGGGGGGCTCATATTTTTCCTAGCATTTGGGTGTGGTGGAGCAAGTGTAGTGTATTTCCAAGGGTGTGTACTTTGTGCTCCGTCGAAAAGAGTTGTGTCCATCAAGTGTTGTATACCAAACTTTCAGTATTATCTTTTTCGCACATCATATTAAATTTAGCTAAACACTTTTTAAAGGCTTACAAGAGATGTTAAACAGGGAGTGCTCCCAAATGGGAACTACGTTGCAGTAAAGAGGATAAAGAACAGCCATTCAATCAATGAGACGTTGTTTTATCGCGAAGTTGACAGCCTGTTGAACATTGAACACGAAAATGTTGTACGGTTTCTTGGCTTCTGTGCTAGCACAGACCAGATAGCCATAGAAAAAGAAGGATCAAAAGAATTTATTTACGCAGAGGTAAGAGAAAGACTACTCTGCTTTGAGTATATCAGCAATGGAAGCCTGAAAAATTATATTACCGGTACGTCATTCTTGCATGCGATACAACTCTTATCTTTACTTATTTGTCCTTTTTTTATTTTTAACTTACGTTCGACACATTTTACCCACAGTCAAGAAGTGAGATAGACTGGAACACGATATTAAAGGTCATTAATTGTGCAATCTAGCCTGCATAAATTAAATGTTTGAAACTTTCATGGCTCAATGCTACTTTTGCGTTATGCAGATGAATTAAGGGGACTTGAATGGAACACGCGTTATGAAATAATTAGAGGCATTTGTGAAGGTTTGTACCATCTGCACCGGGAAAAGCAAATTTATCATATGGATATGAAACCTGACAATATACTGCTAGATAATGATATGGTTCCGAAAATCACTGATTTTGGTTTATCGAGACTAGATGAAAAGTCACAAACCATAAGTGAAGACCGCTTCGGATCAGTGTAAGCTATGTATCAATATATCTGACTTTCTTGACATTTACTCTCACATTTTCTCATGCTCTAATGCATTAAAATACTGGCCTTTTATGTAGAGGATACTGTGCTCCAGAATACCTACAGCAGGGAAAGATGTCATTCAAATCAGACATGTACAATTTGGGTGTTATAATTATTGAACTAGTGACAGGACAGAAGGCGATCCCCAACAATAATAATGTAAGAGGTCTTTATCTTGCCCTGCAGGCAAACTCTTTTTAGAGATATCCTAACTTCCACCTTGTATATTCTTTTGCCATTTTACTAAACCTACTTAATTTGCATTTTATGGTATTGTATGGCCTACATATCCAGTTAAATAATACATATTGAAAGAGAAGTATAAGCCATGTAATGGTCTTTCTCGAAAACATACAACGACGATCTCGGAAATTGATTCTGATGGATGATACCATCATGTCATGGCTCGAAACATTTATATTTCAGCCATGTGGGCTGAGTCACCGGCCATGTCCCTTCTTGGCTTCCCGGACTCCTTGGACCACTCTCGCTCTCCTATTCACGCTCTAAATCATGTGTAGTATACCATGCTATAGGTTATTAATATGTAACATTGGCGGGTTTAGGAAATACCCACACACGCAGAGGTTTCTTTTCCGCCTAGGGAACACAAGTTGTGTGCGTTATTTTTTTTAGGAGACCACATAAAGAGGGTAGAGAGCTCCTGCACATTCACATATAAGAAAGACTGGCCCAGCTTATGAAGAAAACTAGGCTAAAAACCATATAGAGTGTGGTTGATTAAAGGACGACCATGCAAAACCTGACAAGCGAGACAAACCCCCTAGCTAATCTAGCCCAGGAGCGTCATTTAGGAAATAGCAACAGTAGCAACCCAGCGCCACCAGCTTGTTGAATCACTCATGGCCTCTCGAAGTTGACAACACCGTCACCGGCCCAGGCTGACCTCCGTTGCCGAAGTTCATCGTCACCCGCAATGAGTTGTGAGCGAGTTCTTTTGCAACGTCTTCAAGGAAGAAAACAACACATGTGCACCATTGATCGCCGGCATTGATCGCCGTCGAAAAGTTATGATTTTGCCTCGAACTACACACGACCACCCTGTTGAACCTTGGGGAGGGGCTAGCCACACCAATAGCCATCTCTAGCTCCAAATCCAACATGTCCAACATGGGAGACGATGACGGGAAGGGAAGAAGGCCCCCGCTACTGCCCAGTCGCTGTCCACATCACTACTGGAATAAGGTACGTTGCCGACGGCCCAGGGCCGTCGGCATAGGACCAAAAACCGTCGGCATAAGGCTATGCCGACGGTGGCTGTCAGCATAACCCCGTCGGCAACTTGTACGTCGGCGTATCCCAAGGCGGCCGTCGGCATATAAAAACCGTCGGCATAGCTAGCTAAGCCGACGGTGTCCGTACAACCGTCAGCATACATCCACCATCGACAACGTTCTCCACCTGACGGCCGTCAACGACGCTACCGTTAAAACTGTGCCAATCATACGCCGACACGTGGCAGCACCTGAGAAGCCTTGGCACGAATCTATGCCGACGGTTAGGCCGTCCGCATAGTTTTGGGGCTATGCCGACGGCCTAACCATCGGCGTAGCTCCGTGCCACAACTGCCAAGGTGTTGCCACTCGTCAGCTAGGCCGACGGTTAGGCCGTCGGCATAGCCTCAAAACTATGTCGACGGCCTAACCGTCGGCATAGCTCCGCACCAGACTTCCCCGCTATTGCCACGTGTCGGCTGCTGGTAACACGAGGGCACTATGCCGACGGTTAGGCCGGCGGCCTAGTTATGCATTATTTTCTCTTTTTTTCCTATTTTTGTTGCTTTTCAATTCAAATAACAGCATCATCATCATCATCATCACAACAGAATAGATAAGATAATCATCACAACTTCATCATCATCACAAGTCCAACATGATAAACATCATCACAGGTCCAACATAAAAGTAGGCATAGTCCTCGAGCATAGGTAAAAAAAATGTTGCTTTTGATTCTGCCCTGTAAATTAAAATAGCTACAGGGCCTATGTAGCCACATAACAGGATCATCATTAATTTCAAAATTTATATAACATCAAATCCATCATATAGTCCAAACAAAGTTCAGTCATATCCAACACGAGCACGACAAGTTCACACGGTCACCAAGACACCATATATCAGGTTCACATTATGTGCACCAATCAGCTTTTATTCCATTAACTAATTATATCACATATATGCACTTTAGTTTGTTAGAAACATAACCACCAAGACACCATACATCAGGTTCACAAATGGACAACTAAAAGATGTAAGTATGGGAGATGAGTTGTACAAAATGGAAGCTAAAACATCAAGTTGACAAGGATAGCTGGCTTCTTCGTTCCTTGTGAGTGTCGTCCTTTTGTTTGCTTCCTACAAAAGTTAAACAATTCTCAATTACAATAGACTATCATAAGCTGCATTTTGTTTGCATGTTTTCAATTTTCAAATATTCCATATGTGAGTACAGTACTTTTTTAAGGCATGCAATCCAAACACGTAACAATCGAAATAACAGTGTGAAAGCATCATATGAGAGACACATGTCAAGAAAAAAGGAATCTGATTTGGAAGATTTTACCTAAAATGCTTTTGACTTTTGACTCCTACAATGCAAGCAAATCAGTTTAGTAATTGTGGGTTTTTTTGATAATAACATAAGGGAGCAAATAGTTATTTGCTATAGTACTACTACTACTACTCCTGGCCCTGTCCTAAAGGTAAAAGGCAAGACAATACAGAGGCATCCATCCCTTGTTTATACAGTACTCCCTCTGTCCCATAATGTAAGATGTTTTTTGACACTAGTCTAGTGTCAAAAAACGTCCTACATTATGGGACGGATGGAGTAGCTTTTAACCTTTCATCTCTCCGAGGGGCATATAACTAGAATAATTATTGTAATGAACAAATGTGGAAACAGTTCATTATTTGTAAATAATTAGAATCGTTTGATATAAATTTCATCTCTCCGAGGGGCATATTACTTTAATATGAAGAAAAAGTCTCGCGTGGCAGAAGATTCACAAGCATTGCCAAGGACTACAAATAAAAGTACTTATTCAGTAATTAGTAGCAAAAAGTTTGAGAGACCATACATGCATATCTATAAGTAATTAGAAACAACAAGTTTAAGAGGTTAATTGCCTCAAATGGGTTTCAGTAAGGCACAAGACAAGAATCTAGCTATGTTCTCTGAATAAGCCAAAACGGAAGAACATTAAGAATTTACCATCACTCTGAAATGAAAACAGGAAAACATATACTGAATTACTCTCATTTTCTATGAATAAACGTATCAAACCTAGCTAACCCTCGGTTTCTAGAAAATAGGATAGATGCAGGCCAAATTGATTTTTAGTTATTGCTACTGTCTAGAGCTCGTAAAATCTTCCTTTTAATTAAAGCTCACCAAATAGTTCGATTCATAAATTCTTGAAGCTGAACATGGCATATTTATTCATGCTGCAGCCCAATAATACATGTATATATAAATGACTGAACCATCCACGTCTCTCTCTCTCTCTCTCTGAAACCGAATTGATCTCTTCTTCTTTCTGTTCTATATACAAGTACGCACGAGTTAACTGAAACCCAAAGCACTCCAAGCTACAAGGACATATTCAGATTGGAGTGTCACCAAACTGTGGCAAACTAAACTAGCACATTGGATTTGATTGGCCCTAAAAGGCTAACTGCAAGCAAAGACTGGAGGAAGGAAGGATCACCGGTCGATGCTGCAGCAGCCCGCTGTTGAAGGCGTGGTGGTTCAGGCAGTGGAGGAAGACGAGGAGTAGAACATGCCACTGGTGGCCTGCTAGGTGCGCCCCTCCTCCTCGAGTGGGGCAAGGACGGCAGCCGCTAGGCTCGTCGAGCTCGGAATCCTATGGAAGGAAGGCCTCCGCGCCGCCCTGTCCCGAGATCCAGCGCTTCGACCCGTCCGCGTGATGGGTGACCTGCAGCAAGGGATTGAAAAAGAAGGTGAGGTAGAGTGAGGAGGGGAGGTTGGGCTGGCAGTTGCTGCGGATCCCGGCGAGGATGGAGAGGGTGTACCTACTTCAGCCACGCCGACGTTGGAGCCGCCAAATCCCTAGCCGTGGGTGAGGGTAGGGGCCATGCCCGGCGGATCTGGCCATACTGGATGAAGGCCCGGTGAGAGGGGAGCGCGGAAGCCTGCTGCGCCCCGGTGGAAATCGCCGGAACCCGCCGGCGTGGGCGGCGGCGATGGCATGGAGTCGCGTAGGGAGAGGGGGACTCGCGCGCGCGAGAGAGAGAGGAAAAGCAAATCGAGCGGGTGGAGAAGGTAGATCAGCTCGAGGGGGAGCAGTAGGTGGCAAGTACGGCAGCGAAGCATGCCGGCAGTGGCCGGAATCGAGCGGCGGCGCCAGCGGCGGAGACAGAGGGGATCGGGCAGGAGAGCTGAGAGAGATATCGAGGGAGAAGTGAGAGAGAGATGGATGGATTGGGTGGGTTTTTTTTTCTTTTCTTTAGGTGGATGGATGGATGTGGGATGGAGAGATAGATGGATGGATGGATGTGGATGGATGGATGTGCGCCATGTCATCAATCCAAGGCATAAGTGTTTCCACCAATGACAAGTAACCTCTTACAATTGTGTTTTTTTCCTTCCGTTTTTCTTATTTTTCTTTAACCTCTTATTCCGGTTAACACTTAACCACGAAGCCGGTGGTTGCCGGATAGCCGACGCCCAAAACCCTAGGGTCGCGAGTGAGCGGTGGTGGTCACCAGTGGTGAATCCCTCCATGAGAGATGCATGTTGCACAGCTCTTCCGACTCAAAATCATTGCTTAGTGGAGGAGGAGCGGCGGGTGACACCACCCGAAGCTGAACCCGGGAAGTCATGTATTGGTGGGTTGTGAGGTAGTCACATGGACATACTTGGGTGGAAGAAGGATGGCTATGATGGTTACAGTAGATTGGTTGTCTGATGGTCACACAGACCATCTCTCTGGCTTGCCTCGTCGCCCTCGATGACGGCACATGCGGCGTTCCTCACCACAAGATTCTCTCTGGATCGATCCGACGTGGCCGCCCCCCCCCCCTCCAAGTGCCGGCGGCAGAGCCGTCCGTGAAGGGGATCAAACTCTGAAGCCACGTGCTAGGTGTTTCCCCTCATCCAAGTGACGGCGACGCTGCCGTCCGTGGAGGGGGGGGGGCACACCTCGCAGTCCCAAGAAGGGCGTCTACGCATGCCACAACACTTTCACACATGCATGAGGACCTGATGCGGTGTTTCGGTTGCATGGCTACACCCGGAAGGCCACCACGAAGCCCCGTTGATCAGGACATCTAGCCCTTTGACTTTCGCCGGACGGGCTTTAACCAGTGGGCTCTTCCACCTGGTTGCGATACGTCAGCCCATAGGAACATCCCCAAACACGGTCTGGACCCAACCCATCACTAGATTCCCTCCAGCTCGACCCGACTCGCATGTTTGCCCTCATCCAAGTGACGGCAGCGTTGCCGTCCGTGGAGGGGGGCCACACCCCGGAGCCCCAAGACGGGCGTCTGCGCATGCCACTT